CTCTCTCTCTCTTAGTTGAACAGCGAGTCAATTCACAGTTATCGGTGTTCGAAAGAGCACCTTAAGGAAGTGTCAAACACTCATTTGCCGTCTTCCTGGATTGCCATTTGCACTTGGACGGGAACGTTAATGCGAGGTTGATGTCAGGTCGTGATCTGTTTGGTGACTGACCACCTTTAAGAAGTGGCAGACCACCTTCAAGAAGTGTCAACCTTTACGAAGTGCCAAGCCGTCGACGGTCAGAGGACTCTTGTGCTAAAAGCATTCTTAGGGGACCTTGTTGTCGTGTTCAGAACATATTGGGGTAGCACTAGATGCTCACCAAATAGGTTTGGATGTCGATTGTATTGACACATCTTTTGATGCTTACAAGCAAGCAGTGGCTGATTCCAGGACCTTCTAGCCGGTGTGGATCTTTGAGAGTAGATTTGACACAATCCACCGTTAGATCCATTCCGGCGAGGGGGACCTGCCATCCTGCCGCTGTTTACTGTACTCGTCACGTGGGAATCGACGATGTGAGGAACCGACAATGAACATTTTTAGGGGACTTTGCGATCGTGTTTGGAACTTATTGGCGTAGCACTAGATGCTCACCAATTCGTTCAAGATGTCGATTATATCGACATATCATATGATGCTTTACGAGCAAACTATGGTCGGATCCCGACCCCCATCCCCGGTGTGGATCTATGAGAGCAGATTTGACGCAATCCACCGTAAGATCCACATCGGAGAGGCGGACCGGTCATCCTGCCGCTGTTTAGTGTAGTCATCATGTGGGAGTCGACATCGCAAGAACCCGACGATGTTCCAATTGGGACGTGCTCTTGCTTCGTGATGTGCAGGTGCTTACCGGCGGTGCGTTCGATCCTCTCCTCGACGTGAAGCAAAGTGCGAGGGAATTGCTCAGGGCTCACACCAGAAGTGCGATTGAACTCGCACTTTGATGGAGAAGCAAGTGCGCAGTCCATCAGCACGACGATTTAATGTGGACATTGCCTTGTCATTTGTATATTCCCGGTTGAAAATGCCATCAAATCATTCTGTGTAGAAGATACATATGCGGCTATGCCCATTCATACAAGTATCTCTTGTCATCGCAAACATCGAGATGAAAACATCTCAAGTTGCGTAGTGGTTTTCCAAAGGTGAAGTCGCACAGCACACGAACAGTTTCCGGAAACCACTCAATGCAACAAATTCATTCAATGACAAATTGCAAAGCACATAGAGACATCGCAAACATCGAGATGAAAACATCTCAAGTTGCCTAGTGTTTTTCCAAAGGTGAAGTCTCACAACATACGAACAGTTTCCAGAAACCATTCAATGCAAAAAATTCATTCAATGGCAAATTGCAAAGCACATAGAGACGTTGCCAAAAATCATTGAATGCAAAATATCACACAATCCGACATTGCAAAGTACACGGAGGCTTTCCAAAAATCACAAAGTACATGAAGCCAATTTCACATTCGCCAAGATACGACTCAAATCACAATCTTTTTCACGATTTATCAAGTTCGTCGATAAGACAGAAGACCTGTAAAAAAAAAATGTCATTTTTTACGAACTTGCGTAATTGTTTTCCACTGAGAACACAGAAGGTAACAATTTCGACAAATCATCTATTTTCGCGAACGCATCGTATCGATCCTTTAGCGCCAAACAACGTCGACACACATGGGCCAAGCACACATACACTCTGGGAAAAGCGCAATTGATGATCATTTTGCCAAACTGGCAGTTATGAACAAGTCGGCGTTGACAGCACAAGAAGTAATCATTTTGGCAAATTTGTGGACATGAACGGTTTAACCACAAATGCACTGCATCCAAAGTAAGAATATGTTCGCATTTCTCATACTGAAACAACAGCCAGCATTCCGTGGAGAGCACGAGATGTATTATGGGGACAACAAAATTGGTAATCATTTAGTGCACCGCTGAATCCGTAAAACAACTTCAAGCAGATATACATTCTGGCGACAATTGGTTTCCGAATGGAGAACGAGTTCACAATTGTCATAAGGAACCAACAGACAGCATTCTGTGGAGACAAGCAGAAGGGGTTAACTCTAAAACGGCAAGCCTGCGTTGACAGCACAAGAAGTAATCATTTTGGCGAGCCTGTGGACATGAACGGTTTAATCACAAATGCATGGCATCCAAAGTGCGAATGTGTTCGCATTTCTCATACGGAAACATTAGCCAGCATTCCGTGGAGAGCACGAGATGTATTCCGGGGCTAACAAAATTGGTAATCATTTAGTGCACAGCTGAATCCGTAAAACAACTTCAAGCACACAAACATTCTGGCGACAATTGGTTGCCGAATGGAGAACACGCTCGCAACTGTCATAAGGAACCAACAGACAACATTCAGTGGAGACAAGCAGAGGGGGTGAACCGTAAAACGGGGCGGCACACGCAGAACAAGGGCGAGCCAAAACATGTGAAAGCTGGGCGGTCGGGGTGGGGCGGGGGAGAGGGGCTTTCACACCACAAAGCCTCGCGAAAGAAAAAGATAAGCACGAAACAATTTGGCGACCAAGAATAAATCGTTGATGTCCTTCACCAAGAGCTTGAGTGTAAAATGTCCACAAGAGGCTGGGATATTTACATCGGCATCTAAGATTCTACTTCACGTAAGCGTCCGCTGCAACCCTCTAGCTGATGTTGCGCGGCAAGCAATGAGAACAACCCGAAAACAAACAAAGGCAGTACGGCGCTGCCGAAAGTCCTACGAGTAAAGATGACAGGTTCCTCCAAATAAAAAACCCTTAAAAAAATGCTACAGCACGAGGCTAGGATATTCACATCGACACCTAAACGTTTACTTGACCAAAACATCCACTGCAATCCGGTACCTCATAAAAACAACAGCACAGCTCGGACCGCCCGATTGGTAAATCAAGTGGGAATAGATTCGCACTTCTGCTTATGGCCTTTCAAAAAAAAAACTATGCGTATTTTAATAAAAGTGATATCATTCAGAGCCTTGGAGTATGTCCACCGCAATTCTCAGCCGGATATTTGGAATGCCGCTTTGGGCTATCGGAAATGGTGGCGGATAGCCGCGTGCAAGAAATGAAGTGAAGGCGAGCATGAAAACACCGCAGCTCGACCCGTCCGACTGTTGAGGGACGCCACAAACAACCACCTTGGGCTTCCGGAGATCCACTTTCATTTTTTAACCATAATGACAAACTGCTTCGTCACAGAGATATTGCGTGAAGTTCCTAATCGGAAGAAAAACCGCCATCGTCTTGTAGGAGGGAGTCGTAGTACTCCAACCCTTGTTCTCGGAGACATAATAGGGTCCAATGCACTCCATGTTTATGGACAGGAATCAAGACCATCTCGTACGAGAAAATATCCACATCTTTTGTCCATCTTGCAACCCTATCATGTCGATAGCCGCCACCGACGAGCTTGTTATAGAAAAAGAGATTGAAAATGTAAAGAGAGGGACTCCCAGGCCACGCAGCGTTGGCAAGCAAGGCCAAGTACGACTCCACCACCTCGTCGAAAAACCATTCCCCCTGAACAAGAGTTTGAAGACTTTTTCTGCTCAACGGAACTGAACTGGCTCCTTTGCGAACCGAGGAAACCACCTCATGGCCGTTGTTGAAATCTCCTTGCGACATTCTCAAGTCCGTACCACTAAGTTCCTCAGTAGGCAAGGGAACGCGAAAACATGATGTAGCCTCAACTGCACAAACACCCACGAACAAGTGTGAGGAGTGACAAAAATCACCGGGGCGAAATGGCTAAGAACCGTGTGTCCTTTTCCCAGAAAAGTTTTATCCCCGACTGTTGAATGTGTCCTTGGCGATGTCCTTAGGACACGGGTCTTTCAAGATAGCCCGTTTGACATCATCATCAGACGCATCAGACAAAGCAATAACGCTTTCAATAGACGCAGCCAAATGTTTCCGCAAACCTTCCTCCTTATCTATTCGACAAGCCTTCAGAACCCTGACAGCTCTCTAGGAAAGGCGAGGCATCTGGACCCTTTTAAACAACCCTACACTTGACGACTTCTTCGGTAAAGCGGCCAATGACCTCCCTGAAAGACATTTCTCGCTCACGGCTTTTACAGGCTTCATGGGCAGGGACATTGACAACCTCACACATGTAGAACATAGAAAACAACCCACAGCCCACAAGCTTTTTTTTAACAAGTGGTAAAAGGTACATGAGCCCATCACATCAATTTGGACGAACACAGAGCTGGCTAGTGACAGATATGCGAATGCTCCTATTCACAAATCTTACCGTGCTCGGGAGCCCTTCGAGGGAACTCGCCCTCCTGTCGCGCCACTGCGCCAACGTCCACAGACAAATAGACGTTCTGCGCCTCGGTCACGACGGTGTCCCAAACTAGCTCAGTGGCAGCTGAGTCGCTAGGCAAGTCGATGGCTTCATGAAGCACCATTTCCCGACCGGTACTGAGGACAGACGCCCGATCACCCTGTTCTGCACCGCAACGGGTGGACGGAGAATACTGATCTTTCCGCTCTCGATCCATCTTGATGCTGACGGCCACCTCACCGCCTTCCACGGAGGATTCGACGTTCTGCGTCTCGGCCATGCTTGAGTCGCTAACCAGCTCGGTGGCAGCCGAGTCGTCACCCAACTCTATGGCTTCATAAAGCACCATTCCCCGAGCGGTGCTGAGGACAAACGCTCGACCACCCTGTTCTTCACCGCAACGGGTGGGCGAAGAATCATCATCTTTCTGTTGTGGATCCGTCAGGATGCCCACCGTCACCTCACTGCCTTCCACCATGGGTTCTCCGCCTTTCTCATCGCTATGAACCCGAGCTTCCACCATGGGTTCTTCTTCGCCTTCATCATCGCCAAGAACAGCTTGCACGAACGTCCACTGACCTCCCTTAACGACACCCTCTCGCGTCGTGGGCACAACCGAACGATTGTGCAGAACATCTTTGGACGTCCCGATCACCACCACTCCTGCGTCGAGCCCCTTCACGACTTCACGAGCCGGCCAGGGTTGAATCTCCTCTTCCCGCTGCAGAGCATGCGTTTCCCCCGGAGCTGCTGCACTCTCGCTGTTAGTGTCCACGGACGCACTCTCCGAAGCATGACGTTCACACTCGCTACCCCCGGTCTCCAACACTTCGCGAGACTGCCAGCGTTGAGTTTCCTCTTCCCGCTGTACAGCACGCGTTCCCGGAGAGCGCTCCTCTTCCTCAGGAGCCGCTGCACTCTTGCTGCCAACGTCGACTGGCACACCCTCCCTCGTCTCCTCCTCGTACTCGCCACCCCCGGTCTCCAACACTCCAGCAACGGGCCCCTCTAGCACGTCGCGAGACCGCCAGTCTCGAGTCTCAACATATGGGAATGGAGGTGAGCAGGGGAACCCTGTGTCCAACTGAAGATGCAGGGGGCAGGACGTCACATTTTCTTCGGCCCGCGGAACTGTCGCGTGAGGAGCACTTATGGCGGCAGGCCTCTAGGGCGACGTCAGCAACTCCGAATCTATTCGGAGTTTGTGGCGGTCGCCCGAGCTGAGGGAACTGAAGGTCGCACCTTCGCTCCTTCGTAATGCAGGCATCCCGCCCTCCAGGCAAAACGAGGACGCGCCCTCTTTCAGGAGCAAGGTGTTGAGCACAGGAGACCTCTGTTGCGCACGGCGGGATAGACTCTCCTCGGCAACGGGAAACAAAGTCCTCGCAGACAAATCTACTCGCACTTGATCAGACCTCAGGGTGGCCTCGTCTTGCATTTCAGAATCTCGACTCCCTACGCAGTGGGGGTCAGTTTCCATATACTGGGGACGTTCTACGCTTTCCGCCCGACCCCTTCCCGCCCGACCCCTTCCCGCCCGACCCCTTCTCGCCCGACCCCTTCCCGCCCGACCCCTTTCCGCCCAAGTCCTTTCCGCCTGACCCCTTTTCGCCGGACGCCTTCTCTCCCGACGATGTCTCGCCCGTCCCCTTTCCGGCAAACTGTGAGCCGTCTCCTCCGCCACCTCCGCCGTCTCCTTCCTCTCCTCCTCCACCCTCTCCCAGATGCTGACCGCCCGATGGAGGTTGCGGCATGCGCCAGTCAATACCACGAGATGGTGCCTTTAGCTTTTGTTTTGCATACGCAGTGACGTCCGGATCGCTCTTTTCGGGGTTCATAAGACTTAAATTCTCCACCAGAGCATGTCTCGCCGTTCTCTTTAATGCACCAGCTCCGAGTCTCTTCATTCCACTCCACTTGCCATTGGCCTCCTTAATTGCCATGACCCATATTCCATTCTTCACAGCAGGTTGGAATATCCTCGGGTGCCAGACGACGTTGTGTCCCCAGACATCCTCCGACGTGAACCGGTGATGCTTGCCGAAGAAGTAGAGTCTGTCATTCTGCCAGGTGTCATGGTCCACAGGGAGCTTGTCACAAGGTTCGTGATCATAGTCTCTCTCTTCCTCCCCGTCATCAGACGATTGGTCGTCGACTGGTTCGCGAAGAAACACACGCTTCAAACCGGAAGGGGACGTGCTGTATCTCCGAGGACCACCTTCCCCTTCATCACCAACCTGTCCAACCACCCGAGGAAGTGGCATGGACTCGAAATCGAAGGTTTCAGGGTCGCTCAACTCCTCCATGTCTTCAGCGTCGAAAGGGTCCTCCTCGTCAAACTGTGCCTTGTAGTTTTCGAGGGTGAGTGGTTCAGCCAGCATGAAGTAAACGTGCTCCAGCCTTCTCAGTAAATGCGAGACATACTCCCTGGGTGCATCGTGGCACCCATTCAGCACACCGAACACCAGGTTTTTCCGTCGACTGCATTCGAGGTCGGTCTGAGATGGTGGTTTGGGTTGGAAAAGGAAGTCCCAAACCTCCGTCCTTTTGTTCCCCGGCAATTTCCAATACATGTCACGTTTGGGATCCCCGTTTCGTTTGCCGGTGGTCTGGACAAACTCGCAATCATTGCGAGTGTCTGCCACGCGTGTCTTCATGAACTCGCGAAGGTAATCGATCGTCTTCGCCTCGTTCTCCAATGCGACGACGTTCCGACCGGTGCGCAGGAGCTCCCACACGACAGACGCATGCCCCTCCCCAAAGAAAAAAACAGTTTGCCCAGCTTTGCAAAAGTTTTCGAGTAGACCAAGTAGATGCGACGGGTTCCGCTCCATCTCCCCGTAAGCAGCTCCACGAACACTTGTCACGCCGCCGTCCTCCCACATGCTACGAGAGAACCTTTCCTCTTCTGCCACGTCGAAACACGCCACAACCTGTCCTGATGGGTCCGACGAACAAACAGCTTTCGAGCGGGCTGCCAGCGCGTGTTTGGCCGGACTTAGACCATGAGTACGGGAGGCCTTTGTCGGGCTACTGGCCGGGTAGACTGCCACTGTGTTGTCTGCCAGGTTCTCGCCATTGAAAATCACGTACAGGCGGTCACACTCCTCAATCGGTATATTGCCTTCCCAGACAGTAGCCTGCTTTTGTGCATGGCGCACCCACTTTCCTGTCCTGACGTGATGGACGTTATGCCTGACCATGCCTTTCAAGAAACTGAGCTCCCGTCGAGATGGGAAAAAAACTACAAGTGCCCAGTGCGTTGGCGACAGTGTTTGGAGAACGCCTTGCAAGTTGGCGAAATCGTCTTCTCGCCAGTCTGAGAGGAGTGTGGGATCACACAAATCGAGGACGTACAGGTTGCACACGTAATGTCGCACAATCTCACGAATCTCAGTGATATGACTGTGAGCTTGGGAAGGAGGGAAAGCGAAAGGAATAAGGCTGGTCACCCGGTTGAGGTTGGGCCATTTGATGTGCCTCACATCCCCGCTGACCTTGATCGTGTCTCGAACTTCTTCCGTCCATCGTAAGATGGAACGGACAGACTTTTCGAAAGATTTACGGAACCTGTCATTCTCGTACAATCTCTTCGCGTCGTCAAGGGACTCCTTCTCGTGCAGAAGAGTACGTTTGCAAGTGTTCACGTACTCCACCGCGCCCTGGAAATGCTTTCGCAGTTCTGCCCACACTCGTCGAGTGAGGCCCTGCGGCCCGAACTCCTCCAAAAGCCGCCCCTCGGTCCGGAAAAAAAGGCTCCCGTACCGCCAAACACCTTCGGCCTCCTCCGTTTCAAGGAACAAGATGTAGTGAAACATCCGGAGCATCACGCGGTCCCCATTCCTCATCGCGACCATGTCTTTAATTCCAGGTTTATGTTGACGTTTAAGATGTTCGCTTGCCAATTGCACGAACACTCCCCTTAGTGCGAGAATATTGTCGAGGATCGACAGTTTCTCGACATCGGTCATGTCGGCAGATACTGCCAACAGAACATATCCATCTCCTTCACGGTCACGAAAAACATGTCGTCCGCTTGCGTTTTCTTTTTGGTCGGAGGCGGCGGTACCCGGACCAGCCACCCCATCTTCGTTTCACCAGCCGTCCCTTTCGAGCCCATTTCCGGAATTGCTTGAAGACCCAGAGATTTGTTTGGCATGTATTTGTCCGGCCTCGACAATGGCCTCTTTCCATCGCCGCCCAACAACTTCCCCTCCGCCCATTTGTCGTAGAACTCCATGCCTTTGTGGAAAACGTTATCACCGGCCATCACGAGCGGCACCCACTGCCTCAATGCATTGCCAACGACAGCGATGTACTCCTTGTCGGCGAGCGACAAATCTTTTTTTGCCAACGACCAGTGAGCGTCGTTCGGACTCTTTCCCAAAATCAGCTTTTGGAATTCGAAAAACTTTTGTTTTTCAGCCTCCTTGCTGGAAGGGTTCCCTTGAATGGCCACCGGCCTTCCTTCATTCTCCCATCCCTCGAATGTCCTGGAACGCGGCCTTCTGCGATCGCTGCTTAGACATCTTGTGTCTCGTGTTCTCGTTGAGACTGACCTGCACATACCCCGCGAAATCTTGGTCGGAGAACCACACTACTCTCGCCGGCCACGACTGCATCTTCCACAATTTGAATATTGACTTATCCGCCAACTCCTTCACAGCAGCCACGGTGTGTTGTCCGTTCACAGGGTAATAGTAGTACTTATCCTTATCCTCTGGCTTGAAGACATCTTTGTGAACCCTGTCAGCTTTCTCCGGACTACGCGTCACCGACTTGTATATGGGTGCCAGAACCAAAGGTTTTTTCGTCCAGATCTTCCCCTTTTTCTCTTGGAATTGACTCAGCATCGCAGCCTTGATGTCGTCCACAATTTCGAGATTTAGACTGCAGTGGTTGTAATATTTTTCCCAAGGCGGGATGTCGAAGACCTTCCTGGGGTCGATGAGCAGTTGGACGGGGAGCTCCTTCTCCACGATATCACCATCATCATTCCGCTCGTATTCGAGCCAAAACGCTGCCGCTTCGTCGATCTTCCCACCGACAGCCCGTTCGCCACCTCTCGCCACCTCAACAGTCTTCCTCCTTCGAGGTTTCTTCTGGCCATCGCCTTCTTCAGCTGCCACTTTCCGTTTCGATTTCCCCAAAGGTTCTCTCGCTGCCGCAGCGCCTGGATGAGCCGAATCTCCTCCACCCATGGCTTGTCCTTCGCGGATGGTCAAACCGCCGGGCCTCCTCGCTTCCTTACTTGTCGTCCCACCCTCTTCCTTCGACGGCCTCTTTCCCGAGACACGTTCTCCGACGTCCCCTCCATCCCTGCCCATCACCTCCTCCGATTTTCCTCTCATCCTCTTCATGCGGAGGGTTTCCTACGCCACCTCCTCTCGCACCATCCTCTGTCGCTCGCGCTTCTTCTCCGTAGAAGTCGGCTCCCCGCCAGAGCTTTCGCGGACAGCGCCCATCCCTTCAGCCTGATTCCCTCCGACATCTTGCCCCGATCTACCGGATTCTCTTCTCGTCTCATCTCGAAGCGAATACGTTGTCGGGCGGCTGCCTACCAGCCGATGGCTTTTCTTTCTTTGAAACGAAAAACATTTTTTTTTCTTTGATGGTTTTTGCTTGGTTTTGACGAATGTGTGCATGTCGGTATGATGTTTGTGGATGTCCTCGGGCTTCCGAGCCCTCGTACTAACCCTTCGATCGGCCGGAGTGACGATCCAAATCTTGTCACAAGCGGGCTCGGGCGGATCCTGAAAGATGGGAGTTTTCAGTGTCAAAATCTGAAAGTGCGAGGCGGGAGATGCGCTTCATAACGGGCTTTGATCGGATCAGAAACAGGTGGACAAAAAAATCCGAGATTTCGACGCTGCTTGGAAAGAAAGTGGCTGACTTCGGGGCCGAAGAAGGGATTCCTCAACCGACCCTGATATCGAGAGCGAGTGCGCCTATTATGACCACAACTGCCCTGATTGACCCAAAGGAGGACTAGGGGCTGTGGGTGAACACCGGGCAGGTGGCGTGCCTTTAGAAAGAGACTGCCCGATGAACCAAAGTTCGGTCTGAAAGAGTGGCTTTTCGCTCCTATAAAAGGGGAGGAGGCCTGGGAGGTGTTTTCAATCCGCTTCAGGCAAAACAGGTGGAGGCCGGGAAAAGCGGGAAGGCCGCCACGAGGGGTAGGGACGGACAGGTACAATGATGAGTGACTATATCCTCAAGAGACGGGACGGTGACCTTGGCAGACCAGAGGCAGATAGAGAGGTGGGGCCACCTCGGGTATTGTCGCAGGGTGGGGCCTTGGAGTCCTCGGGGCGAGCTACGAACAAGACAGGGGGCCGGATCAGTCAGAGGAAAGAGGAAGAGAGAATCGGGAAAGCTGTGATTTCATGTGAACAAAGGGGGCACTGATCGGGCAAGGGAGATGGATCGACAGCTGGGGGATAAATTTTGGAAGACATGAGAAGAGAAAGGTGGGGAACAGTTTTTCTGATCCTAGGATCGAAGGAAACGGAGTGAACAGCAGGGCAGGAAAACGAAAGATACGAAACTAGTTTCGAAACGACAAGACCTATTTCGAATGGGCGGTGGGAGGAACAGGCACTGAAGAGGCGGGTCAGGCAGCCAGACTCCGGCAGCAAGAAAGTCCGAGGGATGATGGGTTAGGCTTTGCCTTTTGCTTGGCGTCGCTCGTATGGACGCCCTCCCCAGTGTGCTCAAAGCCGGCTCCTTGCCACTAGGCTGGCAGGTGCCAGGGAGAGAAGGGGTTTGAAGAATAGAGGCCGGCAACTACGGGGGCACCCGTGTATTGAAGCAGGGCCACCCGTGGGAAGCAGACCAGCTGACCTTGCGGAATCTGGTGAGGAAAGGGAGGAGGCAAGGATCGACAGCCATGAGCCACGAATTCCTGGCAGCCGAACGGTCGGAAGGGGCGCTTGAAGAGATTCTGGTGAAAAATGGGATCCGGACCTCGGGGTCTTAAGGCTGGCCTGATGAAGGGGGCGGCAAGGAGTCACAGGGGAAAGAGGGAAGGGAAGGGAATGATGAAGAAGCACAGCTGAGAAACGGTTGTGGACGGGGCACGCAGTTACGTTTTCTTGATAACTAACTCGGGGTCAGGTGAGAAACGATGGGCGAAGGGAAGGATGGCACTGCAAGATCGTCGCGAAGAAAGGTAAAGCGGGGAGGAGGTCATGCAAGAATACGAAACGACTTGATCATTACCAAAGAGTACGAGACGAAGGGGGCATCCAGAGAAGTCGCGAGGCAGAGGCCATGATTGGTAGGGAGAAGAGAGCGATGATCGAAGGAAGGGTGCGCGAGAGCGCGAGCTGCTCAGTGAAGACTGGCCAACAAAGAAAAATTTCGAGGAAAACAGACGTTCGGAGGCGGGAGAATCCGCCAACGGCCAAACGGTAGCGAACCAAAGGGGGAACGCGATAGAGGCGGGATCGCGGAAAGGAGGGACGGTCCGGCGCGCGAGTAAGCTAAGTGGAAGACTGCCAAAGAATCAGGGGAGCAGAGTTCGGAGGGAACCTCGAAGAAGAAGCGGGGGCATTGAAAAGCTAACTAAAAGCCTAGCGGAAAACCAAAAATTTGGCAAATCGGGTGGCGTGAGGATGAAGGGGAGGGGAGAGCAAAAGGGAGGAAAGAGAAGGGGGCGTGGATTGGGGGAGAGAGGGAAGGAAGGATCAAGGTAAGAAAGAGAGAAAGGTATATAAGAAAGGAGGGGAGGGGCGCGCGAGGGAGGCGCACGAGGAGAGAATGCACGCACTCGCGCACGTCCGGTACTCAGTGCTGCGCGGCGGCCGATAGAGCGAGCTCGAGCGAGAGGTCGGGTGAGGGAACACAGGGCTCAGCTAGGCCTTTCCCGGCGTACGGGTTGCGGAGAGAGAGAGAGGGAGCGAGAGCGAGGGCAAAGGAAAAGGGGGAGCTACGACACTTGGAGGAAAGAAGTGGGGTTGGCGCTCGACGACTCTCCCCAGCGTGCGAGAGAGAGAGAAGTAGAGAGAGAGCGAGAGCGAGAAAGAAGGGGAAAGGGGGGCGTACGTAGTAAACGCACGGGTTCTCTAGGCTTCGAACAACCGGGTGCGCGCTCACGAGAGGGGAGTTCAAACAAGAGTGGGGCTAACGTCCGAGGGCGGGTCTGGGCGCCTGGGAAGCTCGAGGGAGACCGTGATCAGAGAGAGAGAGAGAGAGAGAGAGAGAGAGAGAGAGAGAGAGAGAGAGAGAGAGAGAGAGAGAGAGAGAGAGAGAGAGAAGGTGGAGAACCACGGGCCTACTGTCGAAGATCGAGCCTGCGGAACGGATCCGCCTTCCTCAGCTCGGAGGAGGTACGCGCAGAGAAAAGCTACGAGAACCGCTGGGCTCAACGGAGTAAGCTGCATCAAGTGGTCGTCTTTGAGGGACCGCGAAGTCCGAAGTCTGCCGACCGTGGCGGAGGTGCGCAAAGAGCGAGAACCCCGCTGGGAGCGACGAGTTGGCCGTGTTTGGAGCGTTCGTTTTTTCGTTCACTAAGTGCGAGGGGTGTGATCGGGTTCATTATCTCAACTCGCGGGCGGCGGTGCGAGAGGCACGAGCCTGCGCGAGCCGCTTTGGGCCCTGCTGCCTCGCGGCCATGGTCCACGGGCTTCAGTCTTCGAGGTTCAGCGCCCTGACGCCTCTACGCACTCAGACGCTCATCAGAAGTCAACGAGCGCTGAACGGCACGCGGGGGTAGGATCGACAAAGGCTGAGAGGGAGTGGAGTGCAGTTAGAGAGAGGCGGGGAAGAAAGAGGGGGTGAGGAAGGGTAACGAGAGAAAATTAAGAGCTTTGGTCATGTGGAGTGTCGGCTATGCACTACGTGCCTGGCTACTGGCTTCGAACTCCGAGAGCGGCTTGGTCAGGAGTACCTGTTGCTGACGAGGCTGGCCGCTCTTCGTAGGTTGACTTCAAGTAACCTGTTGCCTTCTCACACGAGGCCAAGCGCTCGCCCAAAGCCCCGGTCGAACTGGGTTTGCCCAGACTCTCGTGTTGTTCTCTGTGTCAGACTTTGCGCGGGTGGGGGACCTCGCCTTCGTTTTCAAATGAAAGTTTCGCGGCGGGCTACCCACCCGTTCTCGTCTCCCAGCTAATTCCAGTCTGTTCGGGCACTCTTGCTGTTTTCTGTTGCGTACTTACGATCGGGGTGGCAACCTCGTCTTCGTTTTCAAATTAAAGTCTCGCGGCGGGCTACCCATCCGTTCTTGTTTCCCAACTAAGTCCAGTCTGTTCGGATACTCTTGCTGTTCTCTGTAATAGACTCACAAGCCGGGTGGAGGAACTCGCCTTTGGTTTCAATGGAAAGTCCCACGGTGGACTAACCACCTGTTCTTGTTTCCCAACTAAGTCCAGTCTGTTCGGAGACTCTTGCTGTATTCTGTTTCTGACTTACGGGCAGGGTGGGGAACATCGCTTTCGTTTACAAAGGAAAGTATCACGGTGGACTAACCACCCGTTCTCGTTTCCCATCTAAGTACAGTCTGTTCGGGCAGTCTTGCTGTTTCCTGCATAAGCCTTACGAGCGGGGTGCGAACCTCGTCCTCGATTTCGGAAGAAGGTTTCACGGATGTTTGCCGATCTGTCTGCATTAGACTTACGAGTGAAAGTAGATCCCTTTGCCACCGCCCTTTGGCGGACACGGCTGTTGCTCAGGCGTGCTAGAGTAATTGCTCACTATCTGCCTGGTTTGAACTTAGCCCGCTCCACTGCGCACGTGGTTTTTCGACTAGCAGGCGGGGGCGAGCCCCGTCGACCCGCTTTAAATCTGACATGGACGGAATCCGTCAGCTCTTGCACGTAAGTTGGCCGCTCGTCCCTGGTCCCGCTCAGGTCAATTTTTGGTTTCGGCGACATTTCCTCCTGATGCTAGATGACGCCCGCTTGTTCTCGGTAGCAATTGTGCTCGGGACGTGCTATTGAAAATGCCACTGATGCCAAACTGGTCTGCTTGTGTGAGCCTGTCCACAATACAGCCTTTGAAGACCCACGGTTTGCTTCCAAGTATCGTGTATTCGAATCAGGCTCGCAAAAAAGTGCAGCGGGTGTGCAAAGGTCCACTCTCAGGGGGGGGGGTCCCTGGTCTGGCCGTTTCGTGAGGAAGGGGAGGGAACAGTGATAGAGGTCGGTAACAACGCAGGATTGGTCTGATTCGCAAAAGGGAGGGAAAACAATAGGTGAGACATAGGAAATAACCGCCTCGACGCAGAGGCCTCTCGAGCTCAAGGCAGGAAGGGGCCATATGCTCGGCATAGCCAAACTTCTCGAGGGACCAACGAGCGGCCTTTAATTCAAAGAGCGCCTCCTCTAGGAGACTGGAGAGGCAGGCACCTCCCCAGGCTGACAAAGTGGCGCCGTTGTCGGGGATGAGCATGTCTCCCGCGGCCGCGGCCGGCTCAACAAC